TTGACCTAGTTGTTCAGGCTCGGAAATCCTGGAATCATCCCTGACGACTCTCCCAACCCATGTCCCATGCTCTGTCAGTCCTCTGGGCTTGCTTTCGATGTACCTGCTTCCTCTCTGCCACTTACTCCAGGCCACCGCTGTCTCTCCTGGACTGCAGAGGCCCCTCCTAACTGACATCTTGGTTTCCACTCCTGCCTCACAATCATCCAATCTTTATTAAACTGCCAGAGTGTTTGCTAGATCAAATTAGGTCTGTTCAAAGTTGCCAAAAGTTCCTCTCAGGTTGTGCGGTCAGTCCACGGTCCTTACCAGGGCCTGTGGCGTCCTATGCTCTGGCCCCCGAGCACGCTTTTGAGCTTTTCCTTCAAGTGTTCCTGGAATATACCAAGTATTTTCCTGCCTCTGGGCCTTTGCACTCACTGTTCCCTCTACTTAGACTTTATTTCCCCTGGTAGTGTGGTGTGCCTCCCCGGAGCCCGTGGTCAGCAGCCGCATCTAAATGCTGTATCTGTCATTCACTGGCTGTGTGCCTTGGAGAGTTGCTCACCCCTCCTCCTCTTAAAATCCGTTTTGTCATAGGAGAAGTGGCCAGTGTTTGGGTTGTTGTGTGCTCCTGACGGGAAGCACTTAGATCCTAAGTGCCAGGGAACCCTGGGCTGCCCTTCTGTATGTGTTTCTGCCCTGACTCCTTCTGGCTCTTGTTTGTATGTCAGTCATAGGGGCCTCTCCAGCCATGGTCCCCTCAGGCCAGCCTTTTCTTTTCCTTTCCTTTTAATGGAGCATTTGTTAGCTGCATTTTGCAATCTTTTCCCTTATCAGGAGGTAAGGTCTTGTCAGGTGCCATTTCCCCAGATCCCAGAGGGTGCCTGGTGTAGAGCTGAAGCTCACTGATTTTTGTTGAATGAGTGGTTTTAAAGGCCCATGTTGGGTGTGGGCTCAGCCTCTTACTAGAGGGGTGTGCTTCTCAGAGGGCTCGGAGAGCCTAACTAGGGGTGACTCTTCTCGTGCCCATCCGGCTCAGTGTAGAGGCCGTGGTGAGTCATTTACTTAGTCAACTAAGTTGGGTGAGACTCTGTCTCTGGAAGGCAGGAGCTGTAGAGGGACGAGGGCTGGCAGAAGGGGCAGGAGCTTTTTTGCAGTGAGGGCTTTGCCTCTTCTGCCACTGTCATGGCCCAAGCAAAGCAGGGGTCGTGGGACCCCATTATCGTTGCCCACCGAGAGTCTGCTGGATGTTGACTATTAGGTTTCCATTGCTTAGCTGGAGAGGAAGGAGGTGAGGCACAGTGCTGGCCAGCAGGAGTGGATTTTGGCATGGAATTGAGTCCTGGGCCAAAGTCAAGGCCCCAGAGTGGGGAATATGGGAGACAAAGTTGGGGAAGGTAGTTTGGTGGCGAGACTTCACAGGGCCTCGAATGCCAGTCCAGGCACTTGAGAATTCCTCCCATAGGTATTCTGGGAAGCATGAAAAGTTTAAGAAGTGTTCTTCACACATATTTAAACTTTTCCTGAGTATTTTTTGAATATCATGAAATAAGTGGCAGAGAGGCGAATTACTATTGCTTACTTAAAAGAATAGTTTCTGTTTCAGTTCCTGGTGGAATTCTACAATTAGGGGTGTGGGCTTTCTCCCTTTCATGTTCTATGGGTTAGATTTTATTCCTGGTGCAGTCCTGACTTTGAAGAGCAACAAATGAGCAGCTTCTCGAGAAGGCTGGCTGCTGGGTTAGCAGTGAGGGGCCTGCTGGGACAGCCCTTTCTGTAGTGACCCATTCTGTAGTGACCCAGCCTGCTCGCTGAGGTCTTCAGAACCCAGAAGCCGTCTCATGGGGATGCCTGCAACTGGAGGCTTTGACCCCCTGTGTTTTGCAGGTAGGTTAGACCCCAAGAAAGGTGGAGTGGCTGACTTTACAGTTCATTTCTGTGGAGTGTCACTTCTAAGCCTCCCCAACAGAAACAAAGCAGCCTTGTTTTGGATACAGTATCAATATTCAGTGAGGTTTAGTACTTTGTTGTTGTTGACACACCCCTGCCAGAAATAAGGCAGTGGTAGATATGGAAAAACACCAGACAAGGAGTCTGTGATTTGAGTTCTCTGCCTGTCTGTGAAACCTTGGGGAAATGTCTCCCTCTGTGGATCTCAGTTTCCTTATTTTGGAATGAGAGAGTTGGACTGGCTCTGTGGTTCTTAACCTTTGGAATTCTCTCCCTCTTTTTTTTAATTTTTATTTTTTGAGAAACAGAAAGAGCATGAGCAGGGGGTAAGGGCAGAGGGAAAGTGAGAGACAATCCCAAGCAGACTCCGCACTGATCACAGAGCCAGACGTGGGCCTCCGTCTCAGGATTCTGATATCATGACCTAAACTACAACCAAGAGTTGTCTGCTTAACCGACTTTATCACCCAGGCACCCCTTAACCTTTGCATCTCTTTGAGACTTTGATGAAATCTGTGGACTTCTCTTCCCCAAAACTGAACCTTTGTGGTTTGGCCAACACTTTAGGAGCCCCCTGAAGCTCATGAGATGACCTATAAGGTCCTGCCCCACCTGACCCCCACTTTACCTCCCCCCATTCATGTACCTCCACCTACGGCAGGGCCTTGCACGTGCTTCCCTGCACACAAAATGCCCTTCACCCCTTGGCTTGGTCAACTCTTGCTCATCCTTTGAGTCTCACCCTTCCCTGACCTCCCAGATTAGATTAGGTTGCCCTGCTAGACATGCTTCCCTTACCCTGAACTCAGCACTGATCATACTGGTAACTAAGTGGATGCTAGCACATGTCAGTGTTGGTATTTATTGGGTGAATCCCTGAGGTTCCTCTGGCTGTGACATTCAGTGACTGATCTGCGAATATGTGAATGTGTCTTAAGAAAATACTAGTCTGTGCTTCCTGTGACACACAGCACAAGATGTGCCTTTGCCTTGGATGATTTCCTCTAGGACTGGGCAGGGAAGTCACTTCAAAGCAGGGCCTAGAGGGCTCAGAAGACTGGCTCCCAGACTTTCTGCCTTCGTGTTCTGCAGGGCCAGACCTCCAGGCTGGTCATTCCTCTTTGTTTATGTCCTGCACTGAGCTGGAACTCCCACTTGGAACCTTCCCACAGTGCTTGGCGCTTCCTCATATTGTTGTATTTTTCTCCAGAGGGGAAGTGACCAACATCAGACTTTCCTCCTAGCAGACAAAGTCCATACGCAAAGCCTTATGTCAGCTCTTGGGCACCTGCTTCTGTCTCCTTGCCTCTTGGGGGAGGTGAATGTGCACATTATAGCAATCACCTTTCCCTGTTATTTCTCTCTTAATTTCCCTCAAGAAGTGATCAGTGCCTTGCAGGACCCCCTGCGTCAGGTTCCTTCTGAATCCTGTATGTCTGGTAGGGAGGGGAGGATTCTCTGTAAAATGTCTCATTCAGAACCTTGGTTTCTGACTTCTTATGGTATTACCTTCCTGGTTTAGGTCACTTTCCATAATTGAAATGTTACTCTGATGGTGCAGATGTTATAAGTGAAATTTTATTTGCACTAAAGGAATGAGGAATTTACCAGAATTTTGCGACGGATCTCACCCTGATATGGGGGGAAAAAAACCAGGGTAAATAATTTCTCTTTAACATATCTAAAGCTGGATGTTTACAGTTAATAAAATAATAAAAACAGCAAGAGTCCCTCTTCATTAAGAGTATCTGCCACCTGCCAGGCACTTCCTTAAACAGCATGGTTAACCTTTAAACTGTCCTATGAAGTAGGCAGCATGATTGTACACATTTCACATAAGTGAAAAAGATCAGGTCCAGGGAGGTTAAGTTCTTGTTGCAGAGCTGCCCACCTGGGAAGTGCCCACAGATTCAGATCAGGCCAGCTTCCCTCCAGGGCCAGCACCTTTCCCGATCTCCTGCCTTCTCCAGTCATGAGGAAATGGGTAGTGGCTTTTCTAGCCAAGAGTAAAGATGGAGCTAGATCCAGCTGTTTCACCAGCTATGTAGCCTTGATCCCCTCCTGGCTTCATCTCTAAAATAGAGGAGAAGTTTGGTGGACCCTCCCCTTCTGTGAGCGATTTGGGCTTTTGGTAGTGATACCTCAAGGGGTAACTGATAACATGTGGCCAAGTAGGTCTGATTCTAAGCAGTTCATACATCCATGTCATCCTTGAGGCATTAGTGCAAAAAATGGAACCACATCATATCAGCAGTGCAGTGAGCGTTCTACTGGTACCATTTCATTGTTGATTCATCTCGACTGTTAGAGTCCCATGTTGCCTCCCTAATGTGTGGACTGGAGATGGGTCACAAGTACATTTATACAGTGCTTTCATAAGAAAATGCATTTTGATTTTTTTTTTTTTTTTAGATTTTAGATTTAAAGATTTTATTTGTTTATTCATGAGAGACACAGAGAGAAAGGCAGAGACACAGGCAGAGGGAGAAGCAGGCTCCATGCAGGGAGCCTGATGCGGGACTCGATCCCGGGACTCCAGGATCCCAGGACTCCAGGATCATGCCCTGGGCCGAAGGCAGGTGCTAAACCTCTGAGCCAACCAGGGATCCCCAGAAAATGCATTTCGAGACAGAAACAGCTGATTTATTGATGAATCTTACAAATAAACTAGAAATTTCTTTGAGAGAACAGCTTTGAAATGAGGACCCTATGGTTCAGCTGCTTCTCTAGGAATCCCCAAATGATTCAAATGTAAACTTTCTAGAGGTACGTAAAGATAAATAGAATAGCCTGTTCTTAAGAATATCTCACTAAATCTCAAGCTTGGAAAATGTTTCTCACGGCACATCCCGAATTGGTCCGTTTTTAACTTTCAGCTTTTTGGCCACCCAGTTCGCTACTCCTCCCCCAAGGAAAGGCAGCATTGAAAGTGTTTGGAAGTGCAGTTCACTCTGAGGCCGCTGCTGTGCCGATGAGTAATAGAGTGTCAAAGGAAGGCCAAGGAAGAGCTTCCTAATATAGATGGACTGATGGGGAACGGGGACCCACCCGTGGGGCGATAACAAGTCTTTTCTTCTGGCTTCCTCCCTGGAAGCAAAGGGAGTTTGAAAGGCAGGAGGCAAGGACTGCTCTGAACAGAATTCAGATTTTTCTTGGAAGGGTTTGCCAGGGCTTGCGAGGTGATTGGGATGTTGGAGAGATGAAGTCCCTTTCAGCCGGCACCTTGGTCCTTACTCCCTGTTCAGCAAAGACCTCTAGGCTTGGGAGGACCCTGTGAGCTCCTGGCTTTAGAATGGGCAATGCTGCTGAGAAACAGAAGCCCCGGAAGCGAAGCCGTCTGTGCCCCTGGAAGCAAGGTAAGCAGGCCCTGGGCTTTGTCTCCAGGAGAAAGGAGGCAGCCTTGCATTAGGATATTTTGGCTCCGCACCAAAGCTGGAACTGCTTGGCAAACACCTTCCACACCACAAAGGCTCTGTAGGTCAACATATTTTAAAGAAAATTAACAGACAGCTCTCCTGAGGATTAAAGTGATCTGTATCTCAGTGTGCTATCATAGCCTGGCTGAGAATGAAGTGCAGCTCCAGGTTTGTGCTCACTGCAGCATGTATCTGCCAATCGAAAATTCTAAGCTTTAAGAAATATCCCAAATAAAAATCTTGATAGCCAGGAGCTTGAATCTTTTGTAACAGTTTGGTGAGAGAATGTTATTAATAGCTTTTAAATATATATCGTCCTTCTTCCGAAGAATTCAAAGTACTTTCTGTTGGAAATCTCCGGTTAACCTGTCCTAGATGCCCGTGATACTGGCCAGCATCGACTGACCGTACTGGATGTCTCTTAAAGGGTTTGTGTTAGTGTCAGTCTTGAGGAGGAGGAAGCCAATGAGACCACAAGCACTGCCATGGCACACCTGAAACTGGGGACGCATTTAACCATGTCCCAGGGCAACTTAGTTTTCCAGTGTACTGAGCTGCTTTTTTCACGGTCATTAACCCTGCAGCCCAGCCGTAGGCCTTCGGGACTTCAGGTCTTGGCTTTTACCTCCACTTGCCACAGAAAGCAGAGCTAGCACTTGACCAGCAGCAAGACAGTTTGATTGCACCTGTATATATATATGGATATGTGTTTATGCGGAAAATGTAACCTGGAAGAAATCTATGGAAATGGTAACAATAGTCCTCTGTGGTCAGGTTATGGGTAACTTGTTCTTTTTAAAAGGGAAAAGTAGGTAGGCTGCTTATTTCATGTCAAGTTCCTGTCCCTCTGACTTTCCGTCAGTCATCCTTTGTCTGACATGCTACGGTGAAAAAAGTAATCACTAGTGGTCTTTGGGTCCTGGTTTGAACAAAATAGTGAGAAAGACATTTGGGGGACCATTCAGGTAGTTTGATATGAACTGGGTAGTAGATGATATCTGGGGACTATTGCTGATTTTATTATGTATAATGATGGTAATGAGTCATGCAGGAGAATGTCCTTTTGGATAGTCATGCTAAAGTATTTAGGGGTGAAGCATTATACTGTCTATAATTTTATTCCAAAGTGGTTCAGGTGAATGAGTGCATATATACATACAGAGAAGCAAAATAGTATAAGTTTGACAAGTGTCAGAATCCAGGTAATTGGGGCACCTGGGTGTCTCAGTCAGTTTAAGCATCTGCCTTTGGCTCAGGTCATGATCCCAGTGTCCCAGGATAGGGCCCACATCTGGCTCTCTGCTCAGCAGGGAGCTTGCTTCTCCGTCTGCCCCTCACCCCACTCATGTGTGCTTTTCTCTTTCTTTCACTCAAATAAATAATACATAAAATGTTAAAAAAAAAAAAAAAAGAATCCAGGTAATGGTTCTGTGAGGCTTGTTATACTTTCTTTAATGTATTTTTACTAACCAGGAAGGGACACCATTACAAAAATGGTTGCTGGTTGCATCACAGTACAGTATCCTTCAGAAGAATGAATCTCAGCAGACATGGTTATTTACTGAAGTGGATCAGGATCCAGGACTTACTCAGTGCTACATGGGTTGATATCTCTAGCCACTAACAAGAAAATCATAAAAATCCAGTAATTCAGAAGCACTACTTTTATAACAGGAATTTAATATATTTACTTTCAGATAATCTCTGGTGTTTTTTTGTTTTGTTTTGTTTAGAAAAATGTATAAAAGTTCTTGAAATTAACCATTGGAAGCAGCCTGGTTTACAGGCAAAATTAAATTAGCCAGCCTCTGTGTTTTATTTTACAGTTTGTGTTCAGTAGTTTCAATAAGAGGAGCTGTGGGAGCGTGGTGAGTAATAGCAGGCATTGCAAGGTTCACTGTGAGTTGGGGTAAAAGAGAGAGCAGCTCCCTGCCCTGATTTCTGAGTCTGCATGGGTCCCATTGACCCGGAGTACATTTTGGCCAGTGTTGAGATTCGTTTATGCAGTTTAGACCCTGGGATAAGGGTTTGTTTCCCTGACCCCGAATCCAGGGAAGCCCTGCTAAGGACCCGCAGTAGCAAGGGTGTGGAGCAGTCCTTCACAGTTTATCTGTTTGGCTGCGTCTTTAAGGGTTGTTGATGTTTTAGAAATGGGATTTTCGAGCAATATTTAGGAATCAGATTTTGTGAATCCCAGACACCCCTGTGACCCTCATCTGAGTATATTTTCCATAGTCTACACTTTACATGGCTGTGAAATCTCAGTGGATGATTGATGACTCCATGCTCCAAGGCAGAACAACAGGGTGTCAGGGTCTGCTTTTGGGCCAAGTGAATGGGAAACACATCTTTGTGTGCATTTGGTGCAAACAGCTCAGGCTGCTCCTGACTTCTCCGTCCTGTCTTGTCTGTTGCCCTGTAGTGGCAGGGGCTCCTGGGAATACAGACTTTTAACCAGAGCCAGACATTTGTGATTAGGAGGGTCAAGCCCAGAATACATTTTAAAAGCAAATTTAAAGGAAATCATTATTTGTCCTTTAAGTCATTTACATTTCTGTTTCCAGGTTGTATGCCTGGAAAGTTGAAAAATTAAAGTGACAGAATGCTAGTTCAAGAAACATAAATCTTACCACCTCTGCCAGCTGTCACCCTGAAGAGCATTTTATATATACCTGGTAGAGAAATGTCTCTTGAATGATTTTAAACAGTGTGCAATGCCCATCTTTTGAGGGGACTGACTTTTATACTCTCTGACTCTTATTCTTGATTTTCTGATGGCTCTCAGAACCCAAGACATAAGTAGAAAACAGTATAGCTCTTTTTGGGTTTTACAATACAGAGTGTTTGCGGTGGTTAATAAATGTGAGTCGTTTGTAATACCGTAGTGAGTTATAGCAGGCCCCTCATGCCAAAAAAAAAAAAAAAGTATGGAAGGTAGGATAAGACAGTGGCTTCCAGTGTGATCCTGGGATTTCCAGCCAGCCAGGGCTCTGCCTCACATTTGCCGTTTGTAATCCCAGATCTCCTCATTCCCTCACTGCCCTCACCTCCCACAGCTTCTCCAAATGACTGTGTCTTCCTGTGTGATTTCCTTATAGCCCTCACCACAGGTATTTTTTTATTGATCTGTTTATACACTATTTGATTGTAAACCGCCTGAGGGCTGTCTGTTGGGATCATTGTTCTTCTATCTTCCACACTAGTGCAGAGCCTGTTGCTTGTTAATTGGTGCCCTCCAGGAGTGTACTTGGTGACAAAAATCCCGTGCTCCCTGGCTGGCTGTGTTACCACGGGTATAAGTGAGGAACAAACGGCAGAGCTTGGTTCCTGGTGCATAGTAGGTGCTCAGTAAATGCTAGCTACCAAAGCTGGCTGGTATGTGGTCGTTATGTGGATCTGGAAGTGTTTATTCTTTGCCTTTCTCTGCTCAAAGTGCAGACTTTGGGGTTGAAAATAGGTACATCTTCCTCTATTCCACAGCAATTCTGAATTTACAAAGAGTTCAATCTATCGATAATTAATCACATTGCAAAAGATTGCTTTACAAAAAGCGCTGAAATCATAGTGAACACTTAGTTGCTGATTCATTGACTCAGGTACCTGGTGAAACCTTCCATTTAGAGCTAAATTGAACTCTGAAATACGTCTGCCCTCTCAGAAGAAAAAAAAACAAACTCTGCCCTCTCAGAAGACTCATTCATTCGTTCTTTTTGAGAATTAATTTGAAGGGTTGCTTACAGTGGTCATTTTGGCTCTTGGGAGCGTAACCGGGGTAGAAGTTTCCTGGGGGATTAAAAATTGCAGCAGTAATTGCAAATTGAATTGTTATCTCCTTCAGAAATCCCAGCAGCTTGGGGCCATACCAGCCTGGTAGATGGAAATGTTGATGATTTGCATGTTTGTACACAGTTGGGCGTGAGCTGAGCGAATGAAATTAACACCCTCCGTGGAAGAGCTGAGGGTGAGAAGTGTCTTTTCCTGGGCCTGGGGGAAAGGAGATTGGCTGGCAGGGGGTGGGGGTAGGGAGTCCAGGATGGATTTGCATTAATTCCGCATGTTCCTTGGTCCCTCTGCGGTAGAGGCAAAGACAGCATTGTTTGGATTCCAGTGAGCAGTGGTGTTGAGACTTGCCACTGCAAGCTAGGTAGTGAAGAAGCATCCGGGGCCGCTGGTAATTTATTTTGATGGCTTTTCTGGCCAAAGCTGAAGCCGGCCCACCTCCCACCATTCATTTTCTGGTCTTTATTCCTTTTTTTTTTTTTTTTTTTGGTCTTTATTCCATTGCTTTGGGGCCACAGTGGTGTCTGGTATGAGCGTCTCAGCCAGTACACCAGAATGTGCGAGGGCTGGGTGCTGCACTGGGGCCACCCAGCTCAGTGCCTTCTAGCTGAGTGAGGCGAGCCATGTGACTTCATGTTTCCGAGCCTGTTTCTTGGTCTCTACATGAGATTAATAAGAACGTCTGTGTCGAAGGGCTATTGAGAGATAATCCGTGTTCCAGCCCTCAGTGGAGAGCAAGCACTGAATGTATGATAGTAATTCTTACTACTATACATCCATGAATGTGGGTCAGGGGCCTGGCTCTATTCCACCCCCAGCTAGCCATGAGAATTTGCCTAATTCTGCCTGTTTCCTTCTCTCAGTTGTAAGAGGTTACATGTCAGGTGATCACAGAGGTGCTTGTGAGGTCTGTGAGTCAGTGACCATCTGCACTGGCCACTGCTGTTCCTGTCTGCAAGCTCTCTGGGTGTTCAGCATCTGGAGAAGTCATCAGTTGTGCTGGCATTGTGGGCAAGGGGTTTTTTTATGGCGTTGCATTTCTTTAGAAATGTTTATTGCCAAACCCAACATAATTGAGCTATTCTTGATTTTTTTTTTAAGATTTTATTTATTTATCCATGAGAGACACAGAGAGAGAGAGGCAGAGACATAGGCAGAGG